TGCGGCTGAATAAATCCGGTCTCCGCCCGGCAGTCTGCCCAGGCTGTACCCTGCTCCCCAGGACCTGTTCCCCAGGACCGCCCTTCAGGAGTCTGAAGACCGGCCCATGGCCCCAAGCCCTCCCTCACCCTCACCAGCCCCCAGGGCTTCCCCGTTCCTTGCGTGACGTGGTCTCACAGCAGTGTTTTCTGTAACAGTGGCTTTTCTGCCTCTAAATGCATTTAAAACCAAACCAAAGCAAGCTCCCCCCCCACACTGTGAGCCTCTACCACAGGGACAGCTCTGGGGACACAGCCTCACCGTGTCCCAGGCCCTGTTCTAAGTGGCTCATGTGCATCAAGTCATACCATCCTCACTCAGCTTTTAGGACCCTGCTTTACAGATGAGGAAACCGAGGCACGGGGAGCTACAGAGATTGCCCACGGTGGTCCTGCTAGTGAGCGGTGGAACCTGTAGCCCAGAGCTTGGGCCTCTGCTCGCCTTGGCCTCCCTGACTCACGGCCACCCGGAGCCTCCTGTGGGTCGTGCCCTTCCAGGGAGCAGGATCTGTTCCCAGCCCCACCCAGTGCCTGTCCTACGTCTTCAGACAGAGGAGCTGGCGTTTCAGAGGAGCTTCCCCCCTCTCGTTTCTCGAGAGGGGGGAAGCTCAGGTCACCGGGAGTGTTGACCTAAAATGTTACCTGCCCTGTTAGTTAGAGAAGGAACCGCCCTTGTTCTTGTGACTGATGGTGAACTTGAGCTCTCGACACGGAGACGCGAGGCAGGCCAGGGGCCCGGCTGGCGCTGGTCACTGGTTCAGAACTCGTGCCAGGTCGCAGAGCTAGTGAGCTGTGGAGCCAGACCCAGGCCGAGCCCTGACATCCAGCAAGAGAAATAAAGGGGTCGGCCTCCAGGCTGCCCTCACGCCCAGCCCGCACGTGTCCTGACATCCTTCCACGTCCCAGGCCTTCCCAGTCTGACGCACTCTCGGCCCTGCCACCGCTGCCCTGGCTCACGCATCACAGTGGAGGGCACTGCACTCACCCGCTCCCTGCTCTCCCCCATGCATCCCTGGGCCTTGAGTCTTGGGGTCTTTGGAAACAACTAGTTCATGCCTCGGTGGGCCTGTTGGCGCCTTCAATTGGGGGGTTGCAGAGGGTGGCCTTTTAGAGGGAGGGTCAGTTCAGTCTTGAGGTGGGGGTGTGGGAGGGGGGGTTCTGTGAGAGATCAGAGCAGGGACAGAGGCCAGAACATTCCAGAAGCCTGGCCTCTGCCTGCATCTGTGACTTTGCTCCCCTGTCTGGGGTCCGGCAGGAATCAGGGTCAGTGCGTGAGGAGTAGGAGGGCCCATGGGGAGGCTGGTTCCAGCCAGGGTGGATGTGGGGGCAGGGCAATGCCATGGCAAGTGGGGAGAGAGGAGCTGCCTCCCTTCCTCCGGCCCCCACCCTCCAGCCCACCCTCAAAACGGACCCTGTGGGAGTCTCCTGTGGCTGCCGTAACAAGTTACCACAAACTTAGTGGCTTAAAACGACAGAAACTTATTCTCTCACAGTTGTGGAGGCCAGAAGTGTAAAGTCAAGGTGTCTCAGGGCTGCTTCCTTCTGGAGGTGCCAGGGAGAATCCTGTCCTCGTCTTCCCAGCTTCTAGAGGCGCCCGCGCTTCTCGGCTGGTGGCCCTTCCTTGTATCAGTCCAACCTCTGCTTCCATTGTCACATCTCCATCTCCTCTGACTCTGACTCTCCTGCCTCCCTCTTATAAGGACGCTGTGATCACGTGGGGCCCACCCGGAGAATCCCGGATCATCTCCCCATCTCAAGACCCTTAACTTCATCACATCTGCAAAGTCCCTCTTGCCACATAAGGTCCCAGGGATTGGGAAGGGGACACCTCTGGGATCCCTTATTCTACTGTAGGTGGCAGTTATGAGTGAGGTGCTGTCGGCACTTCCCTGTCAAGTGCCCCCTCAGTTGTTGCCCCCATTTACAGATGAGCCCCTGGGGACCTCCCTGATGTCCCCTCACGGGGGTCATGGCGGACCTGGACCGAGGACGAGGCTCCCCAGCCCAGGCGCTGTCCTCCAGGCTTCCCTGCAAATGCAGGGTGCCCTGAGCAACCCCAGAAAGCATCCTGAGCTCCAGGTACGCGGGCCCCATCCCGGTGGGGTGGGGGCTCTCCATGCACCCCCGGGCCCTCTGCAGCTCTTCTCCCAGGTGCACGGGAAGTCTGGGGATCAGGTGGGCAACGCAGCAATAGCATTCATTCAGCAGGACCTACCGCTGTTGTGGCACTCACTCATTCATTCATTCATTCATTCACTCCTTCCATTCCTCTAACACCCCGGAGCCCCTGTGCTGGGCACAGGCCCCACCACACCCAGCCTTCTACCCTAGCGATATTTCCAGACTAAATGTCCAGATTACCCAATAACCTCTCACAGGCATCGCCCATCAGGTGGTCCTGTCTGTTTTTAAAGACACAGGCGTCTCTCTGCCTGCTTCCCTGTCCCTGCCGAATGCCCCAGTCAGAGCCCCCCAGGACTCCATCTGCCCCCAGCCCCCAGGTGGCCCACACTGAAGCCAGGCTCCTGGTGCCCTTTATTCTGCCCAGAAGCCCCTACCCCACGTAGAAACCCCTTTGCGGGGCCCCAGCCCACTACCCGCACCATCTCATTAACCCTTCCAACCACCCCGTTTATAGGCAGGAAACTGAGGCTTGGAGGAGGCCAAGGCAGTGTCCAGGATGCTCGGGCAGGAACAGGGTCTGTCTGTCCTCACCACTGTCCGACCCGGCCTCCACGTGAAGCCTTCCTGACCTCGCAGCCTCGGCAATTCCCAATTCTGTGACTGCCACCGCTGCCTCTGCCCTTCTTATTGCCTAAGGTGGACACGGCCTGCAGGGCCGGCCCTGGAGCCACCATCACATCCCAGGCACCCGTGGACCCTCCCAGCTGGTGATGGACGGTAGGGACCCCTCTCACAGGGACAGTGTGCGTGAACAGCAGCCTGGGGAAGGCCACCGGGACCAGGCTGGCTGGACAGACAGAAATCAGGGGATGGCACGACCTCCTCTGTCCACTGCTGGCTGGAGTCTGGGGTTGATGGGGGGCCCCTCACCTGGGTCAGCACTGGCCCCCACTGGCCTGCCCTTGTCTTGAACTAGAATCATGGCAACCCCATGGAGAACGGTGACAGCGGGCAGGGAGGCAGGATGCCTGTCCTTGCCCTTCCCAGCATTCAGGTCTCCTACAATGAGGGCCTCCGCGCTCTGCGCACGCGGCTCTGCCCAGGCCCTGGGCTGGGGGCGCCACGTGGGCGTTTCCTTGCTCCCCCACAGAAGAGAACGCTGCGGCTCAGAGGGTGGGGCAGCTCTCACGGAAAGCGCGGAGCTCTCGGCAGAGCGAGGGTTCAATTCCAGCTCCTTCTCTTTACCAACCCTGGGCTGGTGTGATGACGAGGCAGAGCAGAGCCTGACTCGGGATGGGGACAGCTTGGGGACAGTGGGGCTGAGGTGTGGATGCTGTGTGTGTGGCGGGGGTTCATTCCCTCACACTCGCTCTCATTCCTCCACAGGAAGGACCCTCAGCTCCGGACCACGTGGAGCTGGGTTCGAATCCAGGCCTCCCACCACCAGCTGTGTGATTGGGGAAGTCTCACCTCCCCTACCTCAGTCTTCTGCCCTGGAAAACGGGATAATAACGCCTCCTTCCTTGGCCGTGTGGGGCGGAGTGAGGTCACGCGTGTGGATCCCCAGGGCGGGGTCTAGGAAGCCTCAGGGACTGGCAAGAACCAGCCCTCCGCCCTCCCTCCCTGCATTCCCAAGTCCTTCCCCTCCAGACTGCACCGGTGTCCCCAGAGGAAGGTCCCCCATCTCCATGCGCCAGCAGTCCTCCTCACCTCTGCACCCCAATTCTGTCCAAAAGTCAGGGAAACGGGAGAAAAAAAGACCCGCTTTAGAAAGATGACATCCCATTAACAAGTGCCGCTGAGATTTCCGGGACAGCCCAGAGAGCGGCCCTGCCTGCCTCAGTCCCCTGGCCACTACTCTCCACGACGGGCCGCTGGTCCCTGCAGAACCTGCAGTCTTGCATGCCACACCGACTCCCCTGAGCCCGTTCTCTGCCGTCAGCGTAACCGTCAGACCCTCAAGTGCCCTCCCCGTCATGCCGTCTGCATCGACAACTCCCTTTCCAAGATGCCCCCCGGTCTACAGAGGATTTCACAGGCTCTACGCTGCTCCAGCCTTTCCTTTAAAGTCCGCACAGCAACTATCAGTGCCTGTGGGCCGGCGTCGTGCCAAGCCAGAACGAGGCTCTGGGTTCTAATCCCCAATGTCACAATCCTCTGTGCAAGACGGCTACGCGCCATTTCCCATGAGGAACCTGATCTGTCTGAGTCCCTTTCTGTGACACTGAGCTGCTTCCCTGGATGGAGCCAAGTATGCAGGATGGCTCTGCCCTGGGCGCCCCTTCTGACCTCGTTCTGGGGTCCCGAGGTGGCCAGGAGGCAACTACAGGTTTGCAAACGGGTCTTCCCATGGAACCTGATGAGGGTGGTGGTAGCCTTGAAATGACAAAATTCCCTATTCCACAGCCAGGCAGAGAGCAAAGTTAGAAGACAGGCTCAGACTGTGAAAACGAAGTAAAGCTCATGAAAAATCAAAGGCAAATCAAAACCAAATAAACAAAAAAGCCTGCAGAAGAGCGGGTCTGCTCATCACTGCCTTCTGAGGACTCCAAACCAAAAAGAGGGATTCTTTCTCCACTCCACAGTGCCCACCAATTCCTCCTGCTTTGCAGGATGGATGCTGCCTCCGGGGCAGGAAGAAGACAATGCACCGGATAGGCGTTCAGAGCCTTTCTCCAAAGGCCCAGCTGGTCGTTTAAAACACATTCATCAAAATGGATAACGGCGGAACCGGGAAGGTTGACGCGGGAGAGCTGGGAGTGAACATGTCGTGCCCGGTGGCCAGGGTCCCAGAGCCAGAACCTGGCTGTGCAGAGGTGGCGCCCGCGCAGCACGTACCTTTCTCTTGTTGGTCGGGCAGATGTAGAAGTTGTCGATGACGGTGGTGACTCCAGGCTGGAGGGTGAGCTTGGTGTAGGATGTCCCGAAGTCCGACGACCTGGGAGACAGGACGACAGCTGTCAGTGACGCCCCTCCTGGAGCAGGTTCACCGAGCCCACGTGTATCCAGCACAGGCCACGCACCCCAGTGTGGGCGCACAGCCCCAAGACACCCCCGGGTGTAGTCCTCTCCCTCTCCCGGGAGCAGCACTCCCCAGGTGGCAGGGGATGGGACCGGGGCTCCCTCAGGGACCCGAGCACGTGCTCAGGTCTGGAGCCAGGATGTGGAGTCAGGTCCTCTGACTGTGAATGCCAGCCAGTCTCCCCACCGAGTCCCCTCCTCGGTGTCCCACAGCATCCCGCCCTGTCTGTACGTGTATTTTAGCTGCATGATAGCTCTGTCTCATGTTTATGAGGGGCCTCATACGTGCCGGCACTTCTAGGTCCTTCCGTCTCTGATTCCTCGCAAAACCCTGACGGACTGTGTTACCACGTCCGTCTGGCAGATGACCAGAGGACGAGGAGGCTCGGAGGGGATTTCCTGCCTGAAATCCCTCAGCCAGCAAGTGGCCGACTCGGGACGTGAATGCCGGCCCGTCCCATGCAGAGCTGGCGTCCTGTTTGCTCTACAGAACGTCCGCCCACCGTGCCCAGGCCCCACGGTGGCGTGTCTGCCTGTCCGTTTCCCTGTCTGGACCCTGAGCTCCTCCAGGGAGCCGCACCCTCCACCCTGACCACGGGCGCCCACAGGACTGCAGGGACACGAGGGTACCGGAGCTCGGGTGCTCCTGGAACCCGGACCACAAGCAGCGCGCCAGCCAGTGAGCGCCATCACCCGGGCTCGGCACTGGGAGGCCAGCTCACCGCTCAGCACCACCGCGGGCCGGCCCCTCCCTGCCTGGGGCCCGTCTCCTTGTCTATAAGGAGGTGCAGGCGAGAATCTCTGAGAGCTCTCTGAGCTCTAACCCAGCCCAGCAGCGAGAGGAGTCATCAGGGCCATTCCACATCTGCTGTTTGGAAGCAACGGGCACACCAGGACGTGAAATTAACTCCATGTGAAGCTTAACGTCCCGGTGACCCTGAAACCAGCGCTCCCTATTATCACCCCGTGAAAGTGTGCTGTGATTGCAGAGTGCTCTGGCTGCGAGCTGGAGGGACGGCAGGTCCTCGGGGCAGCACTTCCCATCCCAAATCTGAAGTGCGGAGCTCCAGTGATGTTCGGGTTCGGGGCTCTCCTGCATCTTCCTCCTCTTCCTACAGCGAAGAAACGCAGACCCAAGGTAGGGACAGGGGCAGGAGTGGGCCCTGGGCTACCATGCTTCTGCCGTGCTGGGCCGGGGTGGGGGGAGGTGTGCGGGGGGGGGGTGCCGGGGAGGGGCGCCCCTGGGGGCCTGTCCATCAGTCTTATCACTTTCTATCTTTTGGCCTGAGCCCTGCCTGGAGGGCGCTGAGCTCCAGGGCTGTGTTTATGGCCTTGGGGCTCCGTTGCCACAAGTCTGAAGAGGTCTGCTCCCTCCGAGGCCTCAGGGTCACAAGGTCCCTCCCAGGCCAGGACAGAGAGCAGCCCCCGCCCCTGGCTCCCAGGGGAGTCCAGCAGTGGCCAGCCCCTCCCCAGGTGGCAGGAGAGGATCCTCTGGGCCTCTGAGTGCCCTTGGCCTCCCCGGGGAGGACCCCCTGGAGAGAACAAAGAAGCCCCCAGAAGTATAATTAGGGAAGCACTTACTCTCTAAACCGCAGAGAATTGATTTTCTTTGGGAAAGAGGGAGCCAGAGGCCCCTTAGCAGAGGATCGATCCGGAGCCCCAGGAAATTCCAGAGCCCCTCAGAAACAAATGGCTGTGTTTACCAGCTTGACGCGTGGAAGACCTCCTGCCCATCCCACAAGCCACGTGTGTCTAAAACCTGCAGATTGATTCTGCCTCCCAGACACCTCGCGATCCACCCCTCCCCTCCATCTACAGACACCCGCTGCCTCGCCCAGCGTGCCTCGCCAGGATCTCGCCTCCTCCCTGCCCCCCTGGCCAGAGGAGCCTGCGCACTCAAGGGCACCTACGGGTGTGGGCCTGCAGCAGGCAGCACGTCGACCGAGGCCCTGCTGCCCGGGAGCCCATGTTCCAGCGGGGCGAGGGGAGGAGAGGGATAAACAAGTGGGCAAAAATGGAACGGCATCAGGTGCGACAGGGCAGGGAAGAAGAAGAAACAGCGCAGAGGCTGGAAGTGGCAGTGGGACCTGCTGTCTCAGAGAGAGCGGCAGCGAAGGCCCCTGGGACACAGGGACATTTGGGCAGAGACGGGAAGGAAGGGAGAGCGCTTTGTGCCTGGCTTGGGGAAGCCATTTGTACTGGGTTGAGTAATGTCCCCCCAAATTCATGTCCACCCAGAACCTGAGAATGTGACCTTATTTGCAAATAGTTTTTGCAGATGTCATTAAATTAAGATGAGGTCGTACTGGAGTAGGGCGGCCCTAATCCACTGACTGGTGCCATGGAAGAGGGAAATTTGGACACAGACACAGGGAAAATGCCATATGATAATGGAGACAGACAAGAGCTGCTAAGGATTGCCAGCCCCCACCAGACGCTAGGAGAGAGGCCGGAAGAGTGTCTCCCTCAGAGCCTCTAGGAGGAACCAACCCTACCTACACTTTGACCCTGAACTTCCAGCCTCCAGACTGTGGACAATAAATTTCCATTGTTTTAAGACAGCCAGTTTGTGGTCCTTTGTTGTGGCAGCCCTGGGAAACTAATACAGCCTTCTAGTTAGAAGGAACAGCATGTGCAAAGGCCCTGAGGACGGGATGGCCCTCCCTTCTCCTCTCAGGACAGGAAAGGAGAGGGGTTTGGTTTGTTTAAACCAAAGTCCTGCCACTGCCTTACCAGCCATCAAGGTGTCTGAAATTCCTCACCCTGCAGAACAATGCAAATCCAGCCCCTCAAATATCCATTTGCCCCAAGTTCCAGGCCTTCTGCCGGAGACTGGGGACATCAGTGCATTCACTCATTCACTCCTTCATTCAATATTTGTTCAGCTCTTTTATGCTTTAAGCCCCACACTGAGGGCTGGGTGTTCAAGTTTCTTCCTTTGTTCTAATTCTTTCCTGCCATGTATGTTTACTTAGGACCTTCTATGAGCCAGTCACTTCGCAGAGGGTGGGGACTCCATGGTGAGCAGGACAGACACTGTCCTGCCCGTGGGGATGACAGCCTGGCTGGTGAGACAGACCAAGCAGACAGATAATTCCAGGTAAGCAGTGACACCAAGGGACATGTCCAGAGAGCTGTGGAAACTCTAAGGGGGATTTCCTCAGCTCCCCCAGCCCCCAAGCTGCCCCTGCTGCCCACCTAATCCGTCACCCCCTCTTGCTGACTCTTCCAACTAAATCATTTACATTCCATCCCAGCATCTCCATCCCCTCTTCATCCAGGCCCTCTTCATCTCCCACTGTCCATGGGGGTCCCAGCAGGTTACAGGCTCAGAGGAGAGGGAGGCTGATGCTGGCTGGGCAGGCTTTGTCAAGGAGTGGTGTCTTCATTTCCTGTGGCTGCTGTGAAAACTTAGTAGCTTAAAATGAGATAAATCTACTATCATACGGTTCTGGAGGTCAAAAGCTGAAATGGGTCTTACGGGCTAAAATCAAGGTGTCTGCACCTCCTGGAAGCTCTAGGAAAAATCCATTTCCTGGTCTTTTCCAGCTTCTAGCGGCCTCCTGCATTCCTTGGCTCGTGGCTCCTTCCTCCATCTTCGAAGTGCATCCCTCCAATCTCTGCTTCCATAGTCGCATCTCCTTCGTCTGTGGTCAAATCTCCCTCTGGCTCCCTCCTGGAAGGACCCTTGTGATTACGAGGGGCCCACACAGATAATCCAGGATCATCTCCCCATCTCAAGAGCCCTCACTTAATCACATCTGCAAAGTCCCCTTTGCCTTGTAGGGTGACATATTCACGGGCTCTGGGGACTAGGATGTGACACCTCTGGGGGGCGTTTTTCTGCCTTCCACAGAGGGGCACTTGAGCCAGGTCCGAGGCACGGCTGGAGCAGAGGGGAGCAGGAGGGGCCGCAGGAGGCTGTGAGGGAGACGGCAGGGCCAGAGGGGAAGAGGTGGGCAGGGGCGGGGCGTGAGCGGTCCCCAGAGCCACAGAGAGATCCTGACTGCTCTGCGATACGGCACCACTCGCCACGGGAGGCTGCGGGGCACTCGGAATGTGGCGAATTCATCCGAATTGAGACGCACTGTAAGTGTCAAGTCTACGCTGAGTTCAAAGACTTAGCACATAAAAAAGAACGAAGGTGCTTCATTATAATTTTATATTGGTTACATGTTGACACAATATTTTGGATACACTGAGTTAAATAAAATCTATTATTAAGATTAATTTCACCTGTTTCTTTTTTTAATTAATAGTTATTTTTTTAGAGCAGTTTTAGGTTCACAGAAGAATTGAGAGGAAGGTACAGAGAGTTCCCATAGACCCCCTGCCCCCACACACGCACAGCCTCCCCCACTGTCTGTATCCCCCACCAGATGGTACATTTGTCACCACTGATGAACCTGCATTCACACGTCATTACCACCCAGAGTCCATGGTTTACATTAGGGTTCACTCCTGGTGTTGCACATTCTGTGGGTTTAGACAAATGTATAATGACGTATCCAGCGTTACAGTGTCATACAGACTAGTTTCACTCCCTAAAAATCCTCTGTGCTCCATCGACTCATCCCTCCCTCCCCTCATCCCCCTGCCGTAACCACTGATCTTTTCACTCTCTCCATACTTTGGCCTTTTCCAGAATGCCATGTATTGGAAGCGTACAGAATGTAGCCTTCTCAGACTGGCCTCTGTCACTTAGTAATATACGTTTAAGTTTCCTCCAGGTCTTTTCATATCAACCGTTTCTTTTCACTTTTTAATGTACATTTGAAACTCCACACGTGGCTCATATCCCATTTCTCATGGACTCGCTGGTCTGGACACAGGCTGAGGCCACGGGCAGCCTCTAAAAGCTGTAAGCAGGCTCTGTGGCGACAGGTCTGTGTCCCCATCCGGCAAGTGCCATCTCAG